CGACGAAACATGAGGGGCGTCAGGTGGTCCTCGGGCACCGGCAAGATGAAGCTCTCCAAGATGTAGAGGTCACAGAGGAGGAGCTGCTTGAGGACGTCTCGATAGACCAGGGCTGAGCCCACCGCATTGGCTCCCCCCGGCTCGAAGGTCACCGTCCTCTCGATGTGCCAGAGGGGTTCGAAGAGGTAGAAGATGCTGTCTTGCTGGTTGAAGAACTCTCCCACGAAGGAGGAACCGGTGCGGGTGGTGGCCATCAGCAGGACGTGCCGCCGCGGCCGGAGGTCGCCGTCACCCACCAGCTGCAGGGTGATGTTGCGTAGGTGGGACCTCAGCTGGGAGAAGGCAGCGTCCAGCTCTTGCAGCGAGGCCAGCGAGCCGTTCTCGGCCGCAGCGAGGCCAGCGAGCCATTCTCGGCCGGTGCTGGGCTGGTCTCTGTGCCGTTGGCCTCCACCAGTGCCTGCGGGGACTGCTTCAGCTTGTCCGACACCCTGTGGGGAGACCCAGCTCAGCCTAGAGGGGAACAGGACCACCCCTGCATCCCAGCAAGTGGGTCTGGGGGGGCTCCTGCTGCGCAGGAGTTGAGGATGTGGTGGAGAGAAAGGGTTTAAAGTGTGGGGTGGCTCCCTACCTGGAGATGAAGTTGTTCTCCTTCTCGATGATGATGAGGCCAACGACAAAGACCAGCAGGACGGCATACTTGCTCCTCATCTTCAGGCAGTGCAGCAGCTCTCGGAAATCCTGGGGCAAAGCACGTCGGATCTCCATGGGGGACGCACGCAGAGGTCTCTCTGGCCCTCTGGGGTGTTGTCCTGGGCTAGCTGGCTGGCATCCTCTGCCCCACCAGCCCTGCCCAGGGCAGCCCTGCCTGTGGGGAGAAGGAGGGTCAGCACGGTGGTAGCTCTCTGAGAGCGGAGGTCACAGGCTGACCCTTCCCACAAGGGACAACCAACAAGGTCTCGTCAAGAGCCGTACAGAAGCTCCTCCCTAATGTCTGAGAGAAGCAGCTGCCCAAAGCCTCTATCAGCTGCAACCCCTTCCTGAAATACATCCCATCACGATGCCTCTGCCAGCTGCCCTGCCAGCCCTGAAGTCAAATCCCTGCCACCCTGACAGCTGCCTGCTCCCTGCTGGCCAAAAACCTGCTGCTGGCAGCGAGGGCCCCCCCTCGGGTGCGAGAGCAGCTCCTCATCACGATCCATGGGGCATCGTGGCTCCCAGCCTCTGGAAAAAGCTACTTTTGGGAAGGGTTGCAGGCTCTGCCGTAGGGCCCCGCTGAGGGGCTGTGCCACGGCAGAGGAGGCTGCTCAGCTCTGAAAATGAAACCCAGAGGGTTTCCAGGAAACACAGCAGACCGGAAAACACTGCTGCTGCCGCCACCAGTGCCGCTTGGGGTGTGAAATGCTTGGAGGGACTTTTTCTGAAAAGAAAAAAGAAAAAAATAAAAGATGGTACAGCCACTCGGTGTACGGGGAGCCTCAGCATCCCCCCCTGCAGCCACCCTCCTCCTTTCAGCGCCAGTGGAATCGGGGTGATGGTGGGAACTGCTCTGAGTTGCAGCAAACCCATGTTCCAAGTGGGATGTGGTGGAGATTCTGGGGTCCCCAGCACGTGTTGCACGTGCAAAGTTAGATGAGTAGGGCTTGCTGGCACCTGCTACCTGGCCACTGGTTCGCATGCCCGGCAGCCAGCCGGCTGGCCACGTGGGTATTGCTGTTTGCTTGTCTTGCTTTCTTGGCCAGACTTTCAGTGACTCAGGGAAAGTCTATTTAGCTTTGGTTTGGCTCCTGCCAGCATGACCCTGGCAACCCGTCCTGCCCCTGCCTTCAGGGGTGAAAGGGGCGGGGGGGGGGGGGCCAGGAGAGGCCACTCCCGGTAGAGGGGGGGGGGGGGGGAGCCCAGCAGAGCCCTGTCCTCTGAGGGTCCCCGAGGTTTGTGGAGGGGAGAAGCCTCGGCTGAGCCACGGTACCCGCAGCCCTCGGCAGGGTGTGGAGAGGGGAAGCCCTGCCAGGCATTGCGTCACACCCGAACCTCCTCACCGCTGTCCGCTGCCAAAATGTACATTTTTTGGTGTTGCTCAGTGTATATCCCTCCTGACGGGAAGGAGGCAGCGTGGGCAGGAGGAGAAGGATGTGCCTGGCAGTCAGGGCAGCATCCCAGGCTGCCCGATCCCCATCCCTCTCTGCAGGAGGACCAGGACTTTCTCGGCTTGAGCAAACCACTCAGCTCCCAGGCCTTGGCTTTGAGCCATGTTCTTTCAAGCAAAAGCTGCTAAAAAGAGACATCCACTCACCCAGAAAGCTGGGGCTTTGGTGGGATGCAAGGATCCCAGGAAGCCCTGGCAGCTCCCGAGCCCTCCCACAGCAGCCCCTGGGCTTCTCCCTTCCCTGTGCAGTGAGTGGCACCGACATGCCCCTCCACACATACGTGTGTGTGTGTGTGTTTAACAGCCCTGTTAGTTTAGTTTGTCAGCACATGGCTCCTTGGGGACAGGCCAGCAGCCAGAGCAGGTGCCTTTTGCCACGCCGCCCCCCGAGTCCCCCCTCCTCGGTCCCACTCGGTGCCCGTGTGATGACAGGACTTGTCGGAGTATTTGAGCAACTGAGAGAAGAAATAAAATATACAAAGCAGTCCTCGGTGTGCGGCCATGTCTCTCAGCACCCGGCAGAGCCTCTGTTGTGCTGCTGCACAGGGCTTTCGGTTTGTGGCATCCAGGAGAGTGATGGTGGTGGTGGTCTGCATCCCCCACTCTTGCCTC